CCTCGATACCAAGGCAACCGTTGCCGACGATTCATCGCCATTGGATTGGCCCACGAAGCTAGAGGGTGCTAGTGACGTTCGGGCCTAACTTATGGGGGCATTTCGTGCTTGGGTTACCATAACAACGACTTTGTAATTTGATACAGCATTTATTGTGTCAATGGTGTCTCGGACAAGTTTAGCGGGGCCGGCATTGGGCGGGGAAAGGGTTTTTGTAGGTTGCGGTGCACGTGCGCCGAGTAATTGAACAGATGGTGTTTGTACGTTCAGGCTCCCTTGGCACTGACGTCCGAGCTCCTGTCCTCCTCCGAGTAAGAACTGTCGTCCTTGGTTAATTGGTCCCGTAATAATGCTTTGGGTAGTCGATGCAGAAGTTTCGTCTCAGTGCTTGGTGGCAAACGAATGCCGGTCAAGCGTGATAGCATGGACTTCCTGGGGATGCCCAGATCGCGTCTTGGTAAGGGAGCTTTGCTTTTGGTTGGCTGCCTCTCCGTAAGATGCATTGTCGTTATGTGGTTCCTGAGTTTCTGCTTAGTCGACACGTGTCGCTGGCAAACGTCGCAGGTGAACTTACCACCTTTGTGAGCGCTACGAATGTGGCAGTTCAAGTTTCGCTTGAAATAGTAAAGGCGACTGCATTGCTCGTAGGGGCACGGAAGAGCAGGCCTGTCCTCCGCATGAATTTTGCAATGATTGCGCAAAGCGTTCTTCCTTAAAAATACTTTATTGCACTTTGGACAAGCGTGCTCTGCAATGGAAAACAAGTCGTTACGAGGGGCAACGTCAGCTTCAAACAAGTATTTGGCTTTAGTACCTACCCGATTTGTGCTCAAGCCGCTTGTGCTTTACCATTTCTGCCCACTTTTCAAACATTTTTTCGCACTTTTCAATCGTACAGGTATAGTTTTTTAATCTGTGAGTCATTAGATGCTTCCTTAGTTTCGTACTGCTTTTGAATATTTTTCTACACTTGTCGCAATTGTAGAACGACGAATTATCATGAGAGGAGAGGTGCTCTTCGTAGCAGCTTTTCTTCCTAAATTCGACGTTACATTCTTGACAATATAATTCCCTATCGGGATCGTGGGCTCTCTTATAATGACGCTTTAAATTACTCAAGGTACTTATGTTCGACAAGCAATGTTGACATCTAAAATTGGAATAATTATAATTAATGCCTTTCATACAAAAACCAAACCACTGTCGTCCCCATAAACGGTCTAGTCATTAATGGAGATACGAGCTTAGCAACGAGACTTACTTATACGTTTTGGCCACCGGACTATGAATTTGCGAATGTCGCTTCAAATGGGATAAGTTTGTATAAGATTTGTCACAGTCGTCAACGTTGCACTTGTAAGGTCGCTATTGGACATAAAAAACAAATATAGATTTTGTTTCTCCCTCTCATTCGATACTCAAAAGAAGTACAATGGATGGGATAAGAAAAATATCAACGACACGCATATACCTGATTGGTGTGAAGATTTAAATGTCGCTGAAGCCTATTCGGCCTATTAAACGCAGCCTTGCACTCTGGAAAGCTGCACTTGTGCTTTTTCTCTCCTTTCCCTTTAAAAATGTTATCCTCCATTTTTTACACAGCCGCGCTAGCGATTCACTCGAGAGGATGACGTAAGTAGTGACGACAGATAACGTTCGACACGTCGATCGAGCTACCCCATTTAATATTATCTGCCCATCGTATCGCACGTAAAAACAATTTCGTTTACGGAATTTGGAGCTATCGAGGTCCACCACGTGCGACACCCAGCCACTGTTGATTAAAAGGACCAGAACAACTCGCGATTGTCGAGTCTCCTATGCTCAAAATCCGCTCGATGGCGCACTCGTCGAACATTCAAATTTCAATGACAATGGCTACACACTCGCTCGCTTACAATGGAACGCTCAGTTTTTCTGTCGCAAGCATCCCCCCCCCCCGCGCTTATG